TTAGCTGGTGAGAGCTGATTGGATTGCAGCCAAACAGGGTCACCAAGTTAGACATAAGACGTAGATGATACTAGAATGCTAAGCAGAACCACAAGATTTGCAGGGGTACAAAAGAAAAAGTTGAGAGGGAAAATGTAAGAGCCCCCTCCCTCAAAAAAAAATCAGCTGTCTGGGGCCAGGTATACTCAATAGTCCCAAAATGTTGTTTCTGGTATGGTGTTTGTTTGTGTGTGTGTGTGTGTGTGTGTGTGTGAGAGAGAGAGAGAGAGAGAGAGAGAGAGAGAGAGAGAGAATGGTGAGGAGGTAATGGAAAGGAGCATCTCAAAGGAGACACAGCTGGCTGGCTGACTGGAGTTTGCAGGACGGCTGCAAACTCAAGAACGGATGTGGTTTAACTGTTAGCAGGTTGGACTAGGACTTGCGAGTGCAGGGTTCGAATCTCCACTCAGCAATGAAGCTTACTGGGTTACCTTGGGCCTGTCACTGTCTCTCAGCCTCACAGGGTTGTTGTAAGGATAAAATCTGGAGCAGAGAACCATGTTCATCACCTGGATCCCCTTGGAGGAAAAGGTGGTATATAAATTTAATAAAATGAATGGTGACCACATTGAGTTGTGGGTCCCACTTCTATGATTTTTGATGCAGTAGGTGGCTCTAGCTCCCATGCAGTCTATGCATGACTTGTAGAGGAGCGAGTGATGCTCACGTTACACTTGACTTCTATGGAAAGAACTGCTGAGTTTTGTGAGCAAAGAGCAGGAAGCCCACGTGGACACTGTCCCATGCAGAGCCGCCTTTCCCAAAGGTCTTAGTGGTTCGTTGCGCCAGGGTGCCAGCCTCTCAGGGGCAACCTAGCAAGTGGGGGAGCTGCGAGGCTTTGCCGGCAGCCTCCCCTTTCCCTGCACGCCCGCCAGCTGCGCCCCGCCAGTGATATGGCTGGCGGGCACGCAGCTTCCCTCCCAAACCTCTGCACTTGCTAAAGATGCCCCTGCTCCTGGTCGTTGCCCTCCTCCTGCTTCCTGGTGAAAGGCAGCACACAGCACATTTTCCTGCTTGATCGCTGCCACCATGCCGGGGATCGGGGCGGTGGGGGAGGCAGAGGACATTTTCCACCACCCCCTCCCTTGTTTTGGAGTTGCCGGGGGTGCCGGATAGAGTTTAGGATTTGCACCACAGGGCTGGATATGCTTAAGACGGCCCTGGTCCCATGCAATGCTCACATCCTCCACAGCTTCTGTAGGCAGCGTACATCACCACCATCATCATTTTATTGTTTGTTCCCCTGCCCATCCGACTGGGTTGCCCCAGCCACTCTGGGTGGCATCCAGCATATACAAAAACATAATAGAACATCAAACATTTTTTAGAAAACTTCCCAATACAGGGCTGCCTTCAGAAGTCTTCTAAAGGTTGTGTAGTTCTTCATCTCCCTTGACATCTGATGGGAGGGTGTTCCACAGGGCGGGCACCACCACCAAGAAGGCCCTCTGCCTGATTCCCTGTAACTTCGCTTCTTGCAGTGAGGGAACCACCAGAAGGCTCTCGGAGCTGGACCTCAGTGTCCGGGCTGAACGATGGGGGTGGAGACGCTCCTTCGGGTATACTGGGCCAAGGCTGTTTAGTGCTTTAAAGGTCAGCACCAACACTTTGAATTGTGCCCGGAAAAGTTCTGGGAGCCAATGTAGGTCTTTCAGGACTGGTGTTAAATGATATTGACCGCTTTCCCAGTCACCAGTCTAGCTGCCGCATTCTGGATTAGTTGTAGTATCAAGCAAGGCGAACGTGTGCATTTTCAGACTTCCTCTCCCTCTGCTTCCCATGCAAGAAGAGTCCTAATTTTCAAGCACACACCAAAGCCCCACAGATTAATTGCTTGGCTACTGAAAAGGTCTCCCCGTCGACAGGTTGTAATAAGGACAGGTGGTGGCTGGTTCTTCTCCTGGCAAAAGAGGCCAGAGTTTGGATTTCCATTGCCAGGCTGGGCAATTATCGTGTCAAACCTCGGAGCCTTCGCCCTGCCTTCCCTTGTTGAAACTCAACACCCGACAAGATTTAATTGCTCTGCCAGCGGCAGACTGGGGCTGAAGCTTGGCTGTTCTTTCCTTTTCGTGGAAAGCAGGTCTCATTTGCATTGCTACACACCTCGAGCTGTCAGGCTTCTTCTCAAAGGCAGGGCTGATAACCTATCGCAAAGATCAGACCTACCACTGTGCATGTCTGTGCCACAATCTGCTTCAGCTCTGATATGGGTAGGTTCAACTCCGAGTAGTAGCTACTGTAACTAAAGGAAGAGCAGCTGTCCTTTGTCCTTAAGTATGTCCTTAAAGGTAAAGGGACCCCTGACAGTTAAGTCCAGTTGTGAACGACTCTGGGGTTGTGGCGCTCATCTCGCTTTACAGGCCAAGCGAGCTGGCATTTGTTTGCTCCGTGGACAGTTTTCCTGGCTCATGTAGCCAGCATGACTAAGCTGCTTCTGGCGCAATGGAACACCGACACCAGAGCAGCGCATGGAAATGCCGTTTACCTTCCCGCCTGAGCGGTACCTCTTTATCTACTTGCACTGGTGTGCTTTTGAACTGCTACGTTGGCAGGAGCTGGGACCGAGCACCGAGAGCTCACCCCATCACGGGGATTCGAACCGCCGACCTTTTGATCGGCAAGCCCAAGAGGCTCAGTCATTTAGACGACAGCAGCACTCGTGTCCCACTATGTATGTCCTTAAGAATCCTTAAAATCCCCCCTTTCCAAGATTTCACGGGCTGCCCACCTGCTAAAAGGCCAAGCTTGAAGTGTTGGTACTAACATATTCAGCCCCTGTACAGCTCAGGACCAGCTTATTTATCTTATAGGATCATAGGGTTGAGAGGGAAGCTGAGGATCATCTAGTCCAATCCCCTGTAATGCAGGAATATGCAGCGGATCGAACCTGGAACCTTGGCATGCTCTAACCAACTGAGCTATCCAGCTATCCCGAGACTCTGCAATCTAGCTGAGCTATCACAGTCTTCAAATACCAGAAGTGCTGTCACACAGAAGAGGGCAGATACATCTTCTCTTGCTGCCCTCGAGGGCTGAACTACACCTAGTAGGTTGGTATTTAACAGGAGGGTAGATTTTTGTTGAACATAAGGATAAATATCTTAACAGTAAGAGCAGTTTGACAAGGGAACCAATTTACCTGGGAATGGAGATGAGAGAATATGTCCATTTCGGCATCTCATTTCCCCCAATCTTAAATTCAGCCCCCCACATTTCCAAATCAGTTTGCGATTATTATTTTTAGGTCCTCGTGTAGATTCATTTTAGTATGAATTCCTTCTGATATACACATTTTTCTATGCAATTGTGCCTAATATACACATCCCCCCCCCCTGCAAAGCTGCTTTCCTTAATATAATGCACACTTAACCTCAGTCCATGTGTACTTTTACATATGACTCGGCTGGAGAAAAACACAGCAAAAATTCAGAGAAGGGCAAATTTCAGTTTGTGTATTGTTCCAGAAAGTGTGGAGTTGGTATGTTTGCCTGTAAATGCAAACTGAATCTCATCTCTCCCCCATCCTTATCCGGGAGTTATTGGGTTACCGTCACTGGATGCCCTCAAGCAGAAGATGGATGGCCACCTCTTGTGGATGCCATAGCTCTAAACCTTTTGCTTTTAGTGGAAAATTGGACTAGCTGACTTACAAAACCCCTTCCCAATTCTGCCATTTTCAGGGAACAATAATATCATAATGTGTAGCAGCATCCACATGGGATGTTAACATCATAAGTCAGAAGCGAAGTGTTGGAAAACAGGCAAGGCTTCCCAAAAAATTATCTGAAAAAGCTTATAGATCACTCTGAACCAATTCCAAATTGAGCCAAGGGACGCTCACCTATCACCAGAGGTCCTGATGGGTGGAATCTGTGGGAATGTTCAGGGATGCAGGAGAGGATATATTGTTTGATTATATCCTTTCCAACTTGTGTTAACAAGTTCTACAATTTAGCAGAGTAGCATTCCCCTTTTAAACTTGCACAGCGGATGCATTTGCTCAGACTCACTAAAGCCTCTAAAATAAGTTTCCTTGGCAATTTCCCCTTTAGTCCCTCATAAAAAGATAGACACGACACATTCTTCTATAAAAGTAGAAAAAGGAGTTTACTCACTCACTCATTCTGTTCACAGATGGATCCCAGAAGGCAGACTTAAGTTACAAAAGTAATATACCTGGAATCTATCCCATAAAGAGATAGTCCCTTTGCATAGCTGTCAACTTTCAGATTTGAAAATAAGGGATCAGCAGCCTCGAAAATAAGGGATGAGAAGCCTCACCTGTCCTGGGGACAGTCTATGGGATATCTAACAATCTGGGATAGCAGCAGGAAGCAGCGGGAAACGGCACTGGAATAAGGGAATTTCACGCCAAAAAAAGGGAAGGTTGACAGCTATGTCCCTTTGTCCTCTCTTGGCGGGAAGCCTTTCTGAATGTAGTCAGAAAGAGAGAGGTGGCGGCCTCTGCTGAGGTATTTTGTTACCTTTCATAGGTGAGGTCACGCCCACCTCTGGTCACATGCAGAGGAAGTCTGTCCCAGCCTAGGAGGAAACAGGAAGTTCCGACTGGCTGGTCCAGACATCCCCTTTTTACGTCCACTCTAGGGATGTTGTACTTGACTGCTCTGTGTTTCACATCCCACAGAATCAAAGTTTCCTTTGAAACAATACTGAAGCCAAGAACTTCCTTTAAAAGGTAGGGAACTGTTGGGATAGTCAGTCAGTAGAACATGACTCTCATTCTCAAGATTGAGCCCTGCATTGTTGGAGGGTTGGACTTCAGATGACCCTCATGGTCCCTCCCAACTCTATGACTCTATGAGATGTGAAGCAACAGTAAAAGAGAAACACAGAGTGTTCATCTCTGATTAGGGCCGCAACCAATCCCTACACAACTGAGATTCAGGGTAAAGAGTTCTAAGCAGTCTTGAACAAAGACACCTCTTCATTATATGATTTAGGCTTCCAAGAATTAGAGAGTCTTCAATGTATGGATGAACCAGAAGCATTGCCGCCGCAGAGACTTAAGCGCAATCATAGGAGGCTGACGCTCATTAGGATTAAACAAACAGCAGTAAGTGATCTTTTGGAGTTCACTTAAACAACCAAGACAATTACTGTCTTTTCTTGTCCCATGGTTGATTTTGGCCCCGAGTCAACGATGTGAGTGATAACAGGTATGCTTTGTGCCGTTGTCTTCGCAAGATCTTCATGCTGTCTGTCTTGCACAATGCTGAATTCAGCACTCTACATCTCAAGCAACCAGTTTCTGAAAATGCAGACAGCCGCCTCTTTTTGGACAGGAATGATGAAAACTTCATTGGAGTCTGTGTGATTGACAGCACGGCTTTGCAGAGTGGCCGAGAAATGTATCTGCTGCTTTGACTGCTTCTTATAGCAGGATGATGCTTCTTGTTGTAACAAATTTTCCTACCTTCCAACCTTTCTCTGATGAAAATAGGGACTCCCCATTCCATAATGATAACTTTACTATTTATACCCCACATATCTTACTGGGTTGCCCCAGCCACTCCAGGCAGCTTCCAACATACAGTGGTACCTTGGTTCTCAAATGCCTTGGTGCTCAAACGCCTTGGTTCCCAAACACTGAAAACCCGGAAGTAAGTGTTCCAGTTTTTGAACGTTTTTTCTGAAGCTGAACGTTTGATGCTGCTGTCGGCTATTGTTTCCGGGGTGCCTGCACCAATTAGAAGCCACGCCTTGGTTTCCCCCGAACATTTCAGAAGTCAAACGGACTTTCAGAACGGATTGTTTGAGAACCAAGGTACCACTGTATATAAAAATATAATAAAACATTTTTTTTAAAAAAAGACTTCCTTATACAGGATTGCTTTCAGACGGCTTAGGGGTCAGAGAACTCCATACCCTCCAACATTTCTCCAATAAAAATAGGGAGATCCTAAGGAAAAGTGGGACATTCTGGGATCAAATCAGAAACCGGGACGGCTTCACTAAATCAGGGATGTCCCTTGAAAATAGGGACACTTGGAGGGTCTGAATTTTGGGGACCAAGTGAAGTGGATGAAGGATCTGTGAACCGCCCTGAGATCTTATGATGAAGGGTGGTATATAAACCTAATAAATCATCATCATCATCATCCTGGGAGGTCATTCAGTCTACCCACTGCTCAATGCAGAATCTACAATTTGGGACACACAAATACAACTTCCCTAACAAGTGCCAGTCCACCACTAGTTAGACACCTCCAGTGAAGGACAGACAACCACTTCCAGAGACAGTTTGTTCTACAGTTTGGAGAGCCAGTGTGGTGTAGTGGTTAAGAGCAGTAGATTTGTAATCTGGTGAACCGGGTTCGCGTCTCCACTCCTCCACATGCAGCTGCTGGGTGACCTTGGGCCAGTCACACTTCTCTGAAGTCTCTCAGCCTCACTCACCTCACAGAGTGTTTGTTGTGGGGAAGGAAGGGAAAGGAGAATGTTAGCCGCTTTGAGACTCCTTCAGGTAGTGATAAAGCGGGATATCAAATCTAAACTCCTCCTCCTCCTCTACCGTCAAACAGTTCTCATTGTTGGGACGTTTCTCCATCTGCTTCCTTGCCATTTCCACCTATTCCTTCTAACCCTTTCCTCCACAGAGGAATCTTTGGCCCCCAGGTGTTGCTGAACTACAACCTCCATCATCCCTGACCCTTGGCCATGCTTACTGGGGCTGATGGGAGATGTAGTTCAGAAAGGGCCAAAGGTTCTTCCCACCTGATCTATTTGCTTCCTTGCCATCCCCACCCATTTACTCTACTCCAGGCTTCCTCAACCTCAGCCCTCCAGATGTTTTGAGACCACAATCCCCATCACCCCTGACCACTGGTCCTGCTAGCTAGGGATCATGGGAGTTGTAGGCCAAAAACATCTGGAGGGCTAAGGTTGAGGAAGCCTGCTCTACTCCTTGCCTCGGGAGCAACAAAGTCCTTCTTCCGGTGTTCAGATATTGAAGCGGGGAAGAACTTTGGATTTCCAAAGAGCACGGCACTCCATTCCTCCTCTAGGGGCAAGAGCCAAGTCACTTCCATACTCTGTAATATTAAACCTGCCGCATGGCCTGAGCTGTTTGTCGCTTTTTAAAGCAACGGGCTGGACCAAGGGGAGTGGGGACAGGCGGGCTTTGCCATGGGAACCTAATTCAAGGGGGTGTCAAAAACATGATTAAAGTTAATAACAGGCATATATCCATTCTTTACAGCAATTAAAATTAATTTGTTATTATTAATTTATTACCCGCCCTTTACCCTAAGGTCCTGGGGTTTTAGCATTGAAACACAATTTTTTTTAAAATATATATATATATCTATTAAACAACTTACAACCATAAAAATTAAGTGGGTCATTTACTTGATTTAGGGAAGGCAGCCACCCCCCCTTAGCCACACCCATGAATGGAATCCTTTTATTTTTATTTTTTTAAAGTTGGGAATCCTAATTCTGATATGGAATATTTTTAACAGGGCCAAAACTTAGGTACCTTGTTGCCAGGGCAAATAACACGAAGTGTGCTGCAGAGACAACCCCATCTTTTATGACATACAAAATTAGCAACAGTTGTTATAGAAAGCGATCAAAGAGTACATATCATTTGCACATTAATTTGCAGTAACGTCACAATCACAGTTAAATCAGGAGCATGAAAAAAAATCGTAGTCATTCTAATGATTTATTACATCAGTGACTTTGCACGTTATTATTTTTGCTGCAACTGCAAATCTCATCCCCAGCAACCCTCCAAATACATTCAGAACCGCCCATCACCAAAAAGCTCACCTAACTTGTTCGAAGGGACTTAGTTGTGAGAAAAACATGGTCAGGATTGCCCTGCAGGCTTCTATATGGCAGGCTGCTATTTGAGACCAAGGAGCAGGATTGGTAAAACGAACTGGGACCTGTGTTTTATAGCCACAACGCAGAGTTCAACTGGTTTAACAGCCCCTCTCAGAGGAACTGTAGTGCTGCAGAGGGTGTCGCTGTTAGAAGAATGCTAAACCAACTACAATCTCAAGATGTTTTAGAAGACACCAAAACTGGTATAAAATTTTAATCTGCCTGGGTCACCCAGAGACAAACAGAACCAAAGCAATATATATGTGTGTGTGTGTGTGTGTGTGTGTGTGTGTGTGTGTGTTATTATAATGAAACATGGATTATAATGAAACAGTGGTACCTCGGGTTACAGATGCTTCAGGTTACAGACGCTTCAGGTTACAGACTCCGCTAACCCAGAAATAGTACCTTGGGTTAAGAACTTTGCTTCAGGATGAGAACAGAAATTGTGCATTGGCGGCGTGGCAGCAGCGGGAGGCCCCATTAGCTAAAGTGGTACCTTGGGTTAAGAACTGTTTCAGGTTAAGAACGGACCTCCAGAATGAATTAAGTTCTTAACCTGAGGTATCACTGTACACAAGAAATAAACTGAATAATGTTCAGCTAGCCAAGGATTTTAGAATTAGTGTCATCATTGAAAATTAAAAATAGAATGGGATAAAAGAGTATTTTTTCCCAGAATCTCCTCATTTTTGGGAGGGTCATTCTATACATGCTTGTTCCTTAATTACTCTTGGTTGTTGTTGTTGTTTAGCCATTTAGTCGTGTCCGACTCTTTGTGACCCCATGGACCAGAGCACACCTGTCTTCCACTGCCTCCCACAGTTTGGTCAAACTCATGCTGGTAGCTTCAAGAACACTGTCCAACCATCTCTGTCATCCCCTTCTTCTAGTGCCCTCAAGGAGAGCCTTTGCCCTGCTTCATTTTAAACTCCAAGGCCAAACTTGCCCGTTCTTCCTTTTATCTCTTGACTCCTTACTTTAGCATTCCAATCCCCTATAATGAGAAGAACATCCTTCTTTGGTGTCATTTCTAGAAGGTGTTGTAAATCTTCATAGAATTGGTCAATTTCAGTTTCTTCAGCACTGGTAGTTGGTGCATAAACTTGGATTACTGTGATGTTAATAGGTCTGCATTGGATTCATATCAAGATCATTCTATCATTTTTTAGATTGCATCCCAGTACAGCTTTCGCCACTCTTTTGTTGACTATGAGAGCCACTCCATTTCTTCTACGGGATTCTTGCCCACAGTAGTAGATAAGATCACCATCCGAACTGAATTTGCCCATTCCCGTCCATTTTAGTTCACTGATGCCCAGGATGTCAATATTTATTCTTGCCATTTCATTTTTGACCACATCCACCTTACCAAGGTTCATGGTTCTTACATTCCAGGTTCCTATGCAATATTTTTCTATACAGCATTGGACTTTCCTTTCACTTCCAGGCATATCCGCAACTGAGCGACCTTTCGGCTTTGGCCCAGCAGCCTCATCAGCTCTGAATCTACTTGTCCTCCGCTCTTCCTCAGTAGCATGTTGGACGCCTTCCAACCTGAGGGGCTCATCTTCCAGCGTCATAACTTTTATATGCCTGTTGTCTTTATCCATGGAGTTTTCTTGGCAGGGATACTGGAGTGGCTTGCCGGTTCCTGCTCCAGGTGGATCACGTTTGGTCAAAACTCTCCACTATGACCTGTCCATCTTGGGTGGCCCTGCACAGCTTAGCTCATAGCTTCTCTGAGTTGTTCAAGCCCCTTCGCCACGACAAGGCAGTGATCCATGAAGGAGATTACTCTTGGTACAAACTATGATTTGACTGTCTTCCTCATTTCATCATATACTCTTCAGTATTTTGAGCGATGGACTGGGTAATTGAACAAGCCAGAGCCGTCTTTCCCATAGGGCTTAGTGGTTCATCACGCCAGGGCGCCGGCCACTCAGGGGTGCCCCAGCGAGTAGGGGAGCTGCGCGGCTTTGCTGGTGGCCTCCCCTTTCCCTGCACACCCGCCAGCTGTGCCCCACCAACTATATGGCTGGCGGCAGTGACAGAGGAAGGGGGGAGCAGCAAAGCATCTGCAAGCTTCATCCTTATTTCAGTTAATCAAAACTATCCAGCAATATCAAGTTATAGGAAAACTGGTGCTATTAACAGTAATCCTCCTAGTTGGTTAATTGGTTCGGCAACTTCCATGCACATGACGTGTGATGCTAATTATTTTCCCCAAGAGTTAAATGATAACTAATCAGAGGCAGCTACAGGAGAGCTATGAGATTCAGGTGAGGGTCAGATGCCTTGTCAATCCCAGCAAGTGTATAAGAGGACGACCCGGCCTGCCCAGGCGATATATAGATACATCATCCAAAACCGGTTTGAAGTTTGTGTTGCAATATCAGTCTCATAATGTTTGACCTGGCGATATATCCTGAATCATGAAGTGTCTTAGGGCTGGGCAATATAACATCCGAAACCAATCTGAAGTCCATTTTGTGATATCAGTTTCATAATTTTTGACCTTGCAAAATAGCCTGAATCAGGTTGGGTGGATGGATGGGTGCTAATACAAAAATTACAATGTGTGTGGGGGGGGAGGGGGGAACCGTGAAGGCATCCAATGCCTCCATCCTTATTTCAGACACCATGAAATATCAGTAAATAAACAGTGATGTTTAGCTGGTGACATGGCACGCTGTTGAAAACCAGATACTACTTAGCCCAGGCTTCCTCAAACTCAGCCCTCCAGATGTTTTGAGACTACAGTTCCCATTATCCCTGACCACTGGTCCTGCTAGCTAGGGATCATGGGAGTTGTAGGCCAAAAACATCTGGAGGGCAGAGTTTGAGGAAGCCTGCCTTGGTCCTAGTCTCAAACAGAAAACAATGAGATAGTATTTTTTTAAAGGAAACCTTTCAAGCAGTTCCATACTTGACTCAACATACTATATTAAAAGGATAGAGAAACCATGCCCATCAATAGGGCACCGCATCTTTCAATTGTATTATGCTTTCTACAGCTCTTTTAACTACTAAATCTTCAGGGAATTCTCTCCCCGCCCCCCCCCCCGCACCTTCCTAAGTGTGTTGACAAACTTTTCTAACTGGATTCCTCTTCATTTCCCCAGAGGGCCTTGGAAGGGCGAAGGGGACTTGTCCAAACCTGTCCACACGTCGTTTTTCGGCATCTCAGCCCCGGCCCCCATCCTCCCCCGCCGGACCTAATTATTTACTGTGTCGTTTTTTCTCTGAAATTTCAGATACTCCCCAAGCCAGCTCCCCTGCTGCCTCCCTCCCTCCCTCCTTCCCTGCCAGCCAGCCCCGCCCACTCGCAGGGTTGACAAACATTTCAGCCCTGGACTTCCCTTTCCTCTCTTTCCAAGATGGGCGAGGAAAATAGGACAAGCCCCAACCTGTCGCTGCTGCATCCCTAACTTAGGCTCCCTGTGCGTGTGTGTCGCGGGTGCAAGGGAGGGGGGTGAGAGGGAAGGCAGGAGGTAGGCGGAGCTTCATCCCAACAACAGCTGCCTTTCAAGCCGGCGCTTAATGAGGGGTGTCCCTAGGGGGCTCCGTGACGTCACTGAGCCTCCCGAGCCAACCGGGCTCGGCGGTGGGCGGGGCTCGGCGGGGAGATGAAAGGCGGCGGAATGGAGGCGCGAGGGCGGAAAGGGAGCTACCCCGCCCCCTCAGGCAGCTCTTCGCGCTCGCCGTCTCTTTCGCGGGAAGCTGGCTGGGCGAGAGGGCGCTGGTGCGGGGGACTTTATTGTTTTGGGAAGAGGCGAGGAGTGGAGCTCGCTGCTTGGACGTGAGCGATCGGCGGCGGCGTTATCAACATCAGTACCGATAACAGTCATAATAATAATAATAATAATAATTCTAGCAGTCTTGGCTTGATCTGGGCAAGGAGGAAGGAGTCGCTGCCCCAGGCATGAGGTTGTCCGGGCCCCACGCCGCCGCTGCCGCCCCCAGAAGCCGCCGATCCTCTGCGGGAACCCGGTAGTCCCTTCCACCTCACCCCGCTCCGCCCCAGCTCCTGGGGGGCTTCCTCTGGATGCGGCTGCGCCTGGGCGCTGCCCGCTCCGTCCGGCTGCCTCCAGTCCCGCCGAGCTTTGGATGATGACGATGAACTCTCTGGCCGAGAGCTTGCTGGGCCCTCCGGACCCGTCCAAGGCGTCCTTCCTGGACTTCGGGCTCGGCCCCCCACCTCCCTCTCCGCCTCTCCATCACCAGCAACAGCAGCAGCAGCAGCAACCCGGCTTGGCGCCCCCTTACTCTCTGCAAGCGCTGCAGCCGCCGCCGCACGACGGTGGTGGGGGCGGCGGCGCCTTCCCCCCCGGCGCAGCCTCGTACGGCAGGCCCCTGGCTTACGCCCCCTACCCCGGGGCAGCCGGCAGCAGCCCCCACCACGCTTTCTACCACCACCACCATCACCACCACGGCGCCTCGTACTCGCCTTACCAGCAGACCTCTAGCGCCCTGGGACACGGGACGAGGCTGGAGGAGACGGGTAAGGCGAGGCTGGCTGATTTGGAGACGGGAGGGGGTCTTGAAAGGGTGGGAAAGGGGAGAGAAGCATCCCTCTGGGGCAGCGAAAGCACCCCCGGCGCGGAGTCTTTCTCTGACTTGATCCGGAGTAGCCGGCTAGGCCGTTCACACGGTCGCCGATCCGGTTTGTCGGCGATCCGGATCAAGGGCTGGGTTGCGGCGCAGTGACGAGTAAACTGCTGGAAGGGGGCTTGCTTGCCTAGTGTAAGGAGCCTTGGCATAAGCGCAGGTCACGGCTAGGGGTTGCAAGGCCCCCGATTTCCGCGGGCAAGCACAAAAAGCCTGAAAAGGACACGTAGTAAAGGGGTCGCGAATGTGGATGCCTTGACGTGACTTCGAAGCGAAGGAGAGCGATGAGTTGGGGGAGCTGATCTTTTAACTGGGGGGCAGAACTTGGGGGGGAAAGATGCTATGTCTCCGGTGGCTTCTAATGCCAAATTTGGCAGTGTTGGTCAATTCGTTTCCCCTTTCCATCAAACCCCCATTTAACACGCATTTAATGCATACACGCATATAAATAAAATGTTGCCCCGGCATAGCAGCCAACTGCTAGGGGCCGAGGTCCCTTCGGTCCCCCCAATAAAGTATTTGAAGGTCCGCCCCCCCCCTAATGGGCATTGCCATTCAAATACTGTGCGTGCTCTGTCTTGTGATCGATTATGTGGGGCGGGATTTACCTGCCTTCCCCCCCCATAGTTTATTCAAGTTGGCACCCCCGTGCCCCGGTATCATCAGCGAGGATGGGGAGGGGTACCTAGTGAGAACTTGAGGTGAACTTTAAATCGGATTTAGGATTCATGCAATGTCAAGCCTGCACTGAGTCCAATGTCCCAGTGGCTTAACACCTGATCTCTCTCACTCTTGATTTCTGCCCTGTATCAGTCAACATTCGCAAGTGTGGGGATCTCGAACTAGCATCGATCACTTGTGGAAAACACCCACTGATTGGGGTGTTGCAGAGGACCCTACCTTTTGTATACCCTCTAGGAAAACCACCTAGTTTCCATCCAATGCCAGCTGTACTCATAGTAGATCTGTTGGGCATAGGTAACTGAGCGCCACTAATTTCAATGGACTTGGTTAGATGGAACCCACCGGCCTACAGCCCTAGAGAAGCAGTTGGCAGCTTCACAAATTCAGTTGTGTTCTTAGGTGCAGACCAAAATGCAAATCCGAAGCCCACTGGGTGCAGGGATTGTACAAGGACTGTGCTGTACAGCTCCTTGCACATCCTTTGCAGTTTGCAGGTCTCTTTGCCGTCCACCAAAACTGCATACAGACACTTTACTTGGAATAAACCTCTCCCTCTGGCCACCAGCTGCAGAGAGGCTCATGGGAGGGGCTCCTAGAGCATTTGCCCCGCGGGGCAACCCACCTGACAGGCACCAAAAACATCACCAGGAGTAGGTTGACATGAATAAATCCCTATGGACAACGAGCGTTCCCCTTGGGGCAACAAACTTTGCAGTTAGCTGAACATAACTGGGGTCTTGGAGTCACTGGAGATAAGTTCCTCTGCTCCTGACACCCTTTATAAATAGGATAGTATCTGGTTTCTTGGTTGTTATTTCTTGGTTTTTAAAATCATTACAGTTGTCTTCAAATGCATTTGAAGTGTGGGTGGTGCTGTGGGTTAAACCACAAAGCCTAGGACTTGCCGATCAGAAGGTTGATGGTTGGAATCCCCGTGACGGGGTGAGCTCCCGTTGCTCGGTCCCTGCTCCTGCCAACCTAGCAGTACGAAAGCACGTCAAAGTGCAAGTACATAAATAGGTACCGCTCTGGCGGGAAGGTAAACGGCGTTTCCGTGCGCTGCTCTGGTTTGCCAGAAGCGGCTTAGTCATGCTGGCCACATGACCCGGAAGTGTATGCCGGCTCCCTCGGCCAATAAAGTGAGATGAGCGTAGCGACCCCAGAGTCAGTCACGACTGGACCTAATGGTCAGGGATCCCTTTACCTTTACCTTTAATTGCAGGTTTGATGAGACGACCCCGTTGGGTCCCTTCCAACTCTACAATTCTATTATTCTTATACACTTAAGAGTATTTGGACAGGAATATCCATGTCTCAGGACTGTTGGAGGTGGGGGAGGGAAATTTTGGAGAGATCGATTCCCCTACCCCCAGTGTCCTTCCAGGCCCAAGATACTGTTGCACCTCTCCTTTAACCCATAGCTTGGTGTGGGTAAGCCCTGGTCTTTCTGCCTCAGTCTCCCTGTCTGGGAAATGGTCAGAAGGGTCACAAGTGCCACAGAAAAGGTACATAGGCAAAAGAGGATAGGAGGGGTTTAGATGTGTGTGTGCAGGCTTTTGGCAACCCCTTTAGTCCTCCTCCTGAAGCTGGAGCTCTCCTAACTGCAGTTGTTCACAATCACCCTTTGTTAACCCTCTTCTGTTCAGTCCTCTCCTGTTTCCTGCTCTGTTCAGATAGAAAGCGCCTGCAGGCAAGGCCTTGTTGCCTCTTGATTGTATTGCTCTGTAAAAGTGCCATGTACCTGGATGGTGCTGTGTAAATAACTTGCCACAGGAGGATGAGGGAGGTTGAGCCACCCAGCAAGCCTCATGGCAGCCCTTAGACTGATGTTCTGGGGCTGAGCCCTGGCTGCTTTCAGTTTGGTCTGCCCTTTGCACATGGGCAGAGTGCCTTTTGATCCAAGGCACTTCCTCAACTCCAAGACAGGATGCTACACACACACACACACACACTTGCTTTGTCAGAAATGGGGTACAGTCTGTGGCCCCACCATGCAGGGAGAGATATGTTCCATCCCCAGTACTTTAGGAAAACTTTTCTTTTGTAATTTTTTTTTGGGGGGGGTATATCTCTTCCAGGGACGCGGGTGGCGCTGTGGGTTAAACCACAGACTTGCCGATCAGAAGGTCAGCGGTTCGAATCCCCCGATGGGGTGAGCTCCAGTTGTTTGGTCCCTGCTCCTGCCAACCTAGCAGTTCGAAAGCACGCCAGTACAAGTAGATAAATAGGTACCACTCCAGCGGGAAGGTAAATGGCATTTCCGTGCGCTGCTCTGGTTCGCCAGAAGCGGCTTAGTCATGACTGTATGCCGGCTCCCTCGGCCAATAAAGCGAGATGAGTGCCGCAACCCCAGAGTCGGTCACGCCTGGACCTAATGGTCAGGGGTCCCTTTACCTATATCTCTTCCACTCACAGCTCCTTCTTGACACATTTGATGGGCAATTTTCCTTCTCATTCCTCCCCCCTCCTTCTGACCTACTATCAAGGGATATCATTGGAATGAGTCCCTATTAGTTCTGGGTAGCTTTTTAAATAATTTTGACAAAACCCAGATGCTTTCTCAGACAACGAGGCAAACTCTGCAGAATCCTTTAATAGGAAACTGCTTGACTTGGTTTCTTCCAAAGAGGGCATGCAAATATATTAATATTTCTCTGGCATGTTTTGCATTGCAAAGGGGCTTCTCTGTTGCATGCCGTCCCCAACCAACTTGGCTTTAAACTGAGCTCCCAAACCTAATAAAAAAGAATGTTAGATGGATTCATTCCTGAGACACTGAACTGCAAAGGATGATTTGGAGATATTTTGTTTGTTTTAGGGCCTGCTGCATTTTGCAAAATTATTATTGGATTTAAAAGAAGCTATTGATCTTTCTTTTTTCTTTTTCTAAAAAGCCATTTAAAAGTCATCCGGTGGTTCATAAATGGGAAACATATGAACGCTGTAACTGAAAACATTGTCTATTGTTTAGATTTTTTGTTCTAAATCTGAAATGGAAATGCTAACTTTTATACTTTTAATTTTTTATTTAAATGTGATTTAGACAGAGGACATTCCAAGCCAGTCTTCCTCCCCCACTTCCTATGTTAATGAATTGGAGCGGGGTGAGTGCTTAAGAGTGCAGTGGTAAAATGATGTCTTATGCATAAGATTTAAAAAGATGCATAAGAATATTCTTGAATCAGCTACAGGACTGATTTATTTTTATTTTGAAAAAAGAATGCTTTAGAAACAGGATATGCTGAGCCATTTTCAGCAAGATAGTCTGGACGGAAATTAACCCATAAAATTAGCCTCCTTCATGGGAGTTTCTGTTCAACTTTTTTTGTGAATCTGGGTCCATAATGCTAAACTTGGGGAAAATCCAAGTTAGACTTGACTCGTTTCTTGATTATTAAGTGTGTGAACTTGGGATTTTTCGATTGCACCAATTCTTACATCTCCAGTCGCCGTAGCAGAATGTTTGTAATATATTGCCATTTTCAGTACAGCTCTAGGACCTGAGTGGTAAAAAACACAGCTGTGAAACGGATAAGCTCCCGCGCTTGGCTCTCTCGGCTCTGCGTTTTCCGCTACCCAAGCAAGGAATATGCATTGTTTATATTCAAGGAATATGTATGCTATTAAATTTACAGACAAAGCAACGCTTCTCATCTTAATAGCTGGAGATGCGGAGGAGTTGACTTACTACCCCCTTGACTGCCCAGGCAATAACAGTGCGTCTGAGCATGCACAGAGTGCTTCTCCGTCACCCCCGAAGAACAGTAGGCTGCCCTCTTGAAACGAGGAGTCCAGGCAGCTCTCAACCCACCGGCCCCTCGCGCCGCTTCTTCAAAAGAAGCCCTGAATTATAGCCAATAATTCGTTTCCTCGCAGCGTGTCTTGTTTATATATTTGAATCCCCAGCCCTCACCCCCCCAACACTCTTTTTAATTGGCACCTGTCAAGATCAGCAAGGGAGATAGAAGATGTCTTTATGGTAATTTGAGGCAGAATTGCAGCACCACGGAAATCCATTTGCAAGCGCTGCCCTCTCTGCTTGGCTGAAGAGCAATTTCGATTTATTAGGCCGGCGTAGATCGCACGCACTGACGGCTTAATTAATGAGCTTTGGAACGCGCCGCGGCGCTCCAAATTCGAGGAGGCGATGATTACTACTTGCCACGGGGGCAACCCGCTGCCATATCGCTTAATCATGCAATCCAAGATCCCAAAATTACGAGGGATCTTCCTAGCTGGCGCAGCTAGCGGAGAAAAAACCGTTCCTAGGATTCCATCCCACCCCACGCGCAAACACACAAAACACGTGGCCTCGGTTTTCTTTTTGTTGCAGCCACCCCAGAGTTACCCAGAACGCTGCCTCAAGACAGAAAGGGTCGCCTTATCCGTCGGCGCTTCCCAGCTCGCTGCTGGGC